AAATTTATCGCTACCTCTAATAACATTATTATTACTTCGTCTTTGAGTATGTTAACGTATGGGTGTCCTTTACTATATTCTATGCATTATACTTTATTCTATGTGCTCTATGCATTATACTTTATTCTATATGTTCTATGCATTATACTTTATTCTATATGTTCTATGCTTTATACTTAATTCTATATGTTCTATGCACTTTATTCTATAATTTTCGAAGTAAAATTCAGAATCAGTTCCCATAGAGAGTCACACCAGTATTTTAAAAGCAATCAATAATACCTGTCACGTGATTCAACATCACAAACTAGAAACATGACTTATTGAGCTTTCCTTCTATGTTCTTTACTTTATTTAATAATTTTCCAAGTAAAATTTAGAATCAGTTTCCATAAAATGTCATACCAGTACTTTAAAAGCAAAGTACTTTAAAGTACTATATGTGGCGTGATTCATCTTCACAAAGAAGAAACCTGACTTGCTGAACTTTCCTTCAAACATGCACATTCAAACATGCACATATTTATTAGATCATCGGCAGCTAATTTAATTCCATTTTGCTGCAGAAGCTTATTATAGTTATTATATGGAACAGATATTTTAAAATTTTAAACGTATTTTGTTGTATGAAATTGTGAAAAAATTAAGAAAGTATTTTATAAGAAAATAAAAATTTCAATTGAATTGTAATAATTTCGATTCACTATTTTCTAAAGAAATTCTAGTTTCTATTTTTATGTATGTTGAATAAAAGTTATTTACATATCTGTTTGATGAATATTTCATTTCTATTCAGTTAATTTAAATTTCAGCTATTTAAAATTAAAGTTATCGTTCAAAACTTCATTGCATTTAAGAAAATGTCCAACTTTGATGTACAGTGCGCAAAATAAAAATGGAGTAACTTGAATAACTTTTTGTCTAATGATCGGATCTTAACGTTCTTGGACTCAATTTAAAGGACTCAAAGGGGTGACTCTAAATAGGTTAAATAATTAGTGCAGACGATATTTTAAGTTGCGAAATCAAACACAAAAGCGTACTTTTTCTGAATAAACTTCCCCTTTTTTTTGACGGATTCAGATTTCTGACCCCCCAAATAAAAAGGGCAGCTGCAATCTGGGAAATATGGTCCCCATAATTTGGTCAGAAGAGAGTTCCAAAGTTGGCCCCCTAATACAAATTTCAATTTTTGCTTTTTTCACCACACCTCGCCATCATTTTACAAAAATAGAAAAGTTTTTACATACAATTATAAAATTCATTTGTCCAAAGATAATTTCTTGAAAAATATAAGCTTTAATTAATATTTATTATTTTAATTAATAATAGTCGAAAAAAATTTAAATTATAAAATATATAATTTTTTTATCATTTTAAAGAATGCAGTTTCAAAGGGCAATCGAGTTTTGAAAAAATCATATATTTAAAGTTCAATTTTTCAGAGATTATTCCACTGATTTTGCTTAAATTTTTTATTTTGCCATTTAAAATTACATTCTCAAAAATGATGTAAAAAGTTGCATACCTTTCACAATTCAAAATTCTTTTGACAATATTAAATAAAATAATAAAAATTAAAAATCTTAACTAAAAATTCTATTTTGCATGTAATTATCATTGAATGGGTGAATTTTATAATTGTGTGCAAAAATTTTTCAAAATTTGCTCAAAAAGTTCTCGATACAGAGAAATACACAAAAGGTAAAATTAGCATTAAGGGGGCAAAACTTTGGAACGCTCTCCTGACCAAATTATGGGAACCATATTTCCCAGCGGCTACCCCCTAGATTTTGGCTGTCAGAAATCCGAATCCGTCGCAAAAAAGGGTATTTTTTGTGCCTAATTCCGTAATTTAAAATAACGTCTGCAATAATTAATTAGCCTATTTGAGATTAGCTCTTCGAACCATTAAGATTGAGTTCTAAAACATGAAAATCCGGCCACTAGATCAAAAATTAGTTAGGGTGGTCCGTTTATTTACTTTTTATTTATGTATATAAATATATATATATATATATATATATACTCTCAAGTACGTATGCATTGTACATACTCTCAAGGAATATTGTAACGATTTTTCTAATACTTTTTTAGCTATGCACAGGGTTTCTTTCTTCTAATTTTATTCCTTGAGTTTTTCTTGAATTAGCTCCTGACCAAAACCTTGAGAAAAAATATATCTTCGCCGGAGTAAACCTAACTAAACGAAATTTGTATAAAAATGCATCAATCTATGACGAAAACGATGATAAGCAAAAATTAATCGCATAAATTACTGACTTAATTTATTTTTTTTTTCTGGGGATTGCTCATTGTTGCTCATTTAACTCCGCCAAAATTAATTATTTCCAAAGAATCTCTTTATAACATTATTTTTCTCAGTATGAGCATTTAGAAAACTGCAAAAACTAAGTTAACCTTTTTTCAAAGAACTTATTTTCAAAATGTAAAAAAAAAATAAAGAAAAAAGCGAATAAAAAGCAATTGATCTTTTAAAGAAGAAAAATGTAAATACATTCTTCAGGAAGTTTTTAAATATTTCAAGAGAACATTTCAAAAGAAAAGAGTACAGTGATATAACATTCAAAGACAATCATAAACTTTAATAATCCAAAACTACAATACACTTTAGTATGAAAATAGTAGACGTAAAATATGCATAAATAGTTCTAAAAATATCATTTAACAGACATTTAAATTTTTCTAATTTCTTTAGGAGCATACAATTTACATACTAGCATACAATTACATACGGAGCATACAATTTACATTTATTTAGTATTACAATTTACATTTATTTACATTTATTTATTATAAAATAATATTGTTGCTAAGCTGCTTTATTACGAAATTGTAAAAATCTTTCTAAATGACTTACCACATTGTACTTCCCATAACGAAACATGTTAGACATAAATAATGTAAATACAATCATACAATTTACATACTAATACAATCAGCATTGTAATACAATATACACAGTAATAAAACCATATTCTAATATTATATGTCTCACTTCCACTAGTTATATTCTATATTCGCGATAGCTTCTTTTCCTTTCGCCTCTTTCTGCATTCTATAGAGTAGCATGGAAATGTGGCTAACGATAAAAAAGCGAAATGGAATAGATTTAAGTAGTCATTAAAAACTCCACATAATTTTTTTTATAAAAAAAATGTGACATTAATATATTTACAAATTAAAACGAAAATACTATATGAAATATATGAATCTATTGACATTATCAGTGTCTCCTCTATTGTTTGTGAGCTTATTTTTAAGTTATTAAATTCATAGCTCAAATGGGCTAAGTCGTCCCCCTTATGGTAAATTTTAGAAAAATTAAGCTTGAAGAAACTGGAGATATCGATGATTTATGAAATAATGAAAATAAGATGAGAATTTACAATGAAATTAAAAGCAACTTACTGCACAGTAAAGTTTTGAAAAAGAAAACATAGAAAAGCCCTAAGCACTTTTAATTCACCTCTGTTATTATAATTAATATGTATTTTTATTTATTTATTTATTTTTATTTATTTATTTATTTATTTATTTATTTATTTATTTAATTATTTTATTTATTCATTCCTTCATTCATTCATTCATTCTTTCATTCATTCATTTATTTATTTATTTTTATTTTTTATTATTTACTTTTTAATTTTTGATCTATTTATTTTATTTTATCTATTTATTTTTAAATTTTATTTTTCCATTATTATTACCTTTAATTTGGAAAAATCACAATCAAGTGTTATGAAATTGACACAAAAATATTTATATTACTCAATGGTAGACACAAATGTCTAATTTTCTTTAAAAAAAATAAATTCTAAGAAGGTAATAATTTAATTAATATTTTTTATCTTTCTGAAAAAAATAACATTATCCTCCAACGGTAACATTGAGGCTTATCGGGGTAAGTGGATATGGAGGTCTGTAATTTTAAAAAATTCATTTATTCCCTAAGTCCTTAAAAAAGGCGGGATTTGATTAAAATAAACTATTTCCTATTTTCAACTCTGTATTTAGTTATAATGGTTTATAAATCACAAATAAAACTGTCATACTACAAACGTTGTCCAAAAATCCACTATATTTTTTTCAATTTTAAGCTTAGAAAATAAAGCATATACAGTTTTTACAAACATGCACAGACATAATGACGGTTTGTTAAATAAAATTTGAACTTTAACGGAAATTAACACTAAAAAAATTAATATAATGACATTTCCGAGGGAAAAACTTAATTCCGGTAATAAAATCCATAATTCTGGATCTACCAAAATTTACGGTTTTTAAACGCAAACCTAACATTTAATAAAACCCAAAATTTAATAAAAATAAAAAACGTAAAAGTGAATTTAACCAAATAAACTGTTTTTCTGTTCTAATGTATCATGTTAAAATTACGAAATTTTAGTACAGTTACCAAATTTAATCGCAGATTATAAATCGATATTTTATTGTTAATTTCATAAAAATCACGAAAACGCTTCGGTAAAAATTACCTAACTTTTTGGTGTGCCTATACAGCCAGAAAAACTGTAAATTTTACCATATTCCGGTGGTTTTAACCATATTTTTTCTCAGAGTACATTTGTAAGCATATAAACTAGTTGTAAAGCATTAGTATAATAGAAGTTAAAAATGGTAATTTCAGTAAAAACCTAAAATTTCGGGAAATCTCGGCAAGCAATTTTTTGCCCCTTTTTCGTTTTTATATCTAAGACTGGCAAAATTTCAAGACGCACTGTTAAAACCCGTGGCTAACTGTTTTAAACTGTCCTAAGCTAAATTTTGTTGCAGGTTACCTTAAGTGTTACAATAAGATTAGGAAAATAGCAATAAACTATAATTCAAAATTTGTATCGTAATAATATAAACATCATAAAATTAATAAAACTGTTTTTAAATGTTGACAAACTAAACTTTGATTAATTAAACTATTTCTAAATGTATGTCCCTTTAAAATATATTTATTAAAAAAATTTGAACTGAAAATAGTTCGGTTTTTTTTGTGTCTTAAACTGTTCAAAAATTGAATTATTTAGTGTAATTTTATAAGAAAGTTTAGCCGCTTAGAAAATAACGAAGCAGGTGAAAAAATTTAATAATTAAACTATTCTTTTATTTATTTGTGGAGGAATTAGAAATACATTTCAAAAAAAGTATTAATAGAATTTGAAAGTTTTTAAAATGAATCCCTAAAATGATTTCTGGTAAAATGTTTGATAAAAGTACTTTTATTTAAGCTTGATATTCGAAAACAATGTTTAGTAAAATATTTTGGAAATGATATATTTACTGTAATTCAAAATTCGAAAATATCTCAGCATTTAACAAACATTGGACGACGCACCATTATGTAGTCCAATGTTAGATACTATTGAAATCAAAAAATTATACTATTGAAAAATACCACTTCTATAAACGCTGTAATCATACTATATAGCATACTATAGCAAAATAGAAAATCATAGCCTATAATCATACTATAGCAAAATAGAAAAAAAGCAATTTTAAAAATATAAATGCTAAATTTATGCAAACTTAGGTGATATTTTTATTGTAAAAAAATTATAAAATATGAAACATATGACTTAAGTTTCCCATGAAAATATCATTTGTATGATTAAAGTAATCAATAACTTTGAGCCTTCTTAAAACTAACATTCATTCTATTTTAAGACATGCTTTCTTTCGTTCAAAATGATGCAATGTAATCAGAAGCGCAGCTAAGTATTCAGCACCAGGGGACAAATTCAGTTTTTGCGCTACCCTGCAACATTATATTAGACAAAAACTCTTCGCAAATAGAATACGTGTCGCAAGGTTACGCGATTTTTCCCTTCTCTACACTTTCTTTCTTTCCGTTACCATGGTTTCGTGTCTTGCTTTTTCCCCACCACAGTTTATTTCAGTAAAAAGTTGGAATATACTGAGTTTGAAAAAAAAGTAAGATTTGCTGTAACCATGGTAAATGAGAGGGGAAAAGTAAAGAGAGAGGGGAAGTCACGTAACCTTGAGATGCTTATTTCCTTTCACAAAGAGTATAAAAGGTTCATGCTCATCAGAACAATTTCAAACTTTATAATATATGAAAAAGGAATTGTAATGATTGGCGTATAATTTTTATTGAACACTTTTTTTTGCTTAGAAATATTATTCTAAAACCATCATTAGTTAGTTAAATTCGAAAATATTTTTAAATCCTCGAATTCTTCACCCAAACCTTAAGACATTAAGCACTTTACAAATAACCAACAAAATGCCTAAAATCAATTCAATTTAAAAACAGACATAATATATTACAATTATAATTTCATGGAATAGCATTTGTTCGTAGGCCCATTTCTACTTTCCGGGAAGGATAATTCTATGAATATCCTTAGAAAATGATATCAATATTCTATAAACATATCCATGAAGGATCTTAGAATGATCTTATTATCTTTGAATAATCATAAAATAAATTACAGATAATATGAAGATTAGAAGGTAATCCTCGTATTAAAAATTTCAGCTTTCATCTTCTTGAAGTTATCACTCATAACGTTCATAATATTATCGCAGTCTCAATTCTTAAGATGCTAGACACCTAATGAGAGATGCTCAGTTATGTTACTGCATGAAGAAAACTTAAGTAATTCTTATTATTACTTTCTTTCTTATTTCCTCTTGAAAATTCCTGAAATATAAAAAAAAATACTAAATTAGAAATTGAAAAGCATTGTCATGTGCTCAATTAATTGAAATATCACGCTGTAATGTTTATTTTAATAATTGGTAGATAATAAATATTATCTACCAATAAGAATTTAGACACCCATGCCTATCAGAGGAGGTGGAATTACAGTCTGGAGCTGTTTCTTCTGGTATTGAATGGAACCATTGGTCTAAATTCAATGCTGACACTTTCTGCACTATTTTAGATAGCAATGTGCTTCTTATGTTGTGGTAGTTCTACGGGCTGGACGTCTGTTTACTCCCAGGACGACAACTCGCTCATTTGGAGAAACAATGACGTAACTGATAATTACTCGAATTATCAGTTACGTCATTGTTTCACCAAATGAGCAAACTCAAGCTATTATGTAGTGAGGTTCTCTCTGGGTTGGTATGATAACAATGGGATTAACAGAATGAATTGCGCTGCCCCGACCCTAAACCTTAATCCTTTCAAGGAATCTCTAGAACGAGTTTGATCACCGAATTAAAGTGTGCAACAACCGTCCATGGAATTTACTCTCTGTCTAACTAAGAACTCTTCTCACCACCTGTCTAGAACACTATCGGTGACTATGGTAAAACAAAGAATATACATGGAAGCAAAAGGTTAACTTCCATAGACTTCATGTAAACAGTCATCAAATCGACAGCATAAGATCTTCGACAGCATAGGGTAGGGGCACGACAGCATAGGATCTTCTTGAAACAAGTTTGTATCCACCCTAACCCCCAACCTTTCCTGGAGTTTGAAACAGGGAAGGTATGTGTTCTCTTTTTATTTATATTTGGTCTATTACTTTTCCATGGCTACTGGCTGACCTATATACTGTAGGTAGATGAAAAAATCTTAGAGAAGATAGAAAGTCCGTGTCTTTTCAAAAACGAGAGTAAGTAAATGCTATAAACCGTCTGACAAGGACTAGTGTGAAAAATATGCCGGAGATCTGATACTGTTATTGCCTGTCATGTAGGCTCCACCAACTATTGAATTTAAATAAATGTTTCTTTCTTTTTCTATTGCGAATGACCAAATACTTATTCACAGATGGTGTAGAATGCTTTATGTAACATCTAAATTAAAGTTTCTGCTCTTAAAATATTTCCATTTTGTGATCTCATCAATTTCAATTAAATTATTTAAAACGTTTTTAAGCCTATTCATTTAAAAAAAATGTACTTAACATTTTTTAACAGTCTGAAACAAGTCTTTTAAACAAACAAGTTTTCGAAATAAAGTCTTGAAGGAAAGAGATTTCATTTCATTCCCATTAGTTTTATTAATAATTAAAATTAATTTTGATAATTTAAGTACTTATTTTATTTTATTAACTTTAATAATTTTTATTTTATTAATATTAATTTCACTTATTTGAAATTTTCTAATTTCAGCTTATGAATTTCAATTTCAGAGATTTTAATGCTTTAATTAACTTTTCAAAAAAACAATTTTTTAGTTCATTTTGTCTGTAAAGTTAGCTTATAGTTAAAACAATTAACTTCTCTTTTCTATAAATATTTAGTTTCATAATTTTAAATTTTATTATAAATTTTTATTTTTTAGCTATTTAATTAACTTGAATTTTAATGATTTTAGTTTTTTATAAATTTTTCATAAACCGACATTTTTAATGGGTTTTTTATCGAATCATTTCCATTTAGTTAAAAAAAAATTCTCGCTAACCCTAACGGTGAACTAGAAAAAAACACCTGCAGTTAATTTCTACTATTCCTTATATTTTACAAATTTAAACTTAACAGATGGAGCTTGTATTATATGAAGCAAAAAATTACGACACTTAATATTAATTTATAACATATTATATCAAAAATATATTATTTAATCAATATTCTTCACTATACATGTGCTTTCAACTGCACAAAATTTAAGAGAATTTTTTTAATAAAATATAGAAAATTGTGCACAATGAATTAAGAGAAAAGTCTCAATTTTATAATGGTTTCAAATACTCTGTTTAAGAAACTTTGAAGTAAAACTTTTTGCTCATTTATGTTGCATTTATTCCAAAGAAAGTACATAATATTTTTTCTTTTTTTGCTTTTGTCAGACGACACTGGCGTAAATATTTGAATTTTTTAGCTAAACAACCCCATAAATTTCTGATTAGTTGCAATCTGATGAGTTAGCTGGCTATTCTAAATAATCATTAATTCATAACGTGGTGACGTCGATTTGCCTAAATTACTTGGTACACTTTTTTTAATTTTTTTCATTTTTTGATAATATATTAAAAATTCAAAAGTTCTTTTTACAAGATTGTCACGAGTCCTATAATTTTATAATAATAGTATTTAATTGCTGTATACGAATTTAGATTTTTTTAGGACTACTTTATAGTTTAGTGATCTGAATTCGGAGAGATAACTGAAAAGTTACAACAGTTACCAAGCCACCCCGAACCTAAAGTCTAAGACTTTAACCTTTAATGATAATGCTTAGAGTTTAAAAAAGTAAGGAAAATTATGTACAAAAGTCCTTGTTCAGTAGTAAAATTCGGTTTTAAGATTAAAAAAGCTCATTTAGAGTTATGTCCATTTTCTTATACACGCAATTCGAGCTGTTTGCGAAATTAATAACTCACCACAGATTTATTTTATTTAATAAAAAAATTATGTTATAGTTTATTTGATACCCAATAGTTTCCCAAATAATGTGTGAATATCAAAGCACATAGTGACCGAAGAAAGTACGAGACAAACACGTAGCAATAAAGAAAAGTGGTTTAACCATAAGGAATACAGGAGCAGACTAGAAAAAGTTTTTAAAAAAAAAATGACGAGAAACAGGTGTGAGGGGCTTGGCAGGGAATCCGAGTGCGCAAGATGTAGGAATTAAAAAAAAAATAGATATTCAAACTTAACAAAAATGATAGGACACTTAAAATATCACTAACTAAATTAATCAGAATTTTTCAAAGAGCGGAATTATTCTTGGAAGTCAACGTCAGAACATAATACAGAATAAAACTCAAACCTGTAATTAAAATTCCAAACATGTAATTGTACAGCACTTACAATAATTGTATCGTACTTACCTTCATGATATGAGTATTTAAATAAGCCAAAAAACTACCGATGTAAAGGAAAAAAAGAATCTTACCTGAAATATCACATCATCAAAGAAAGTGAATTCTAATAAAACGATGAAGGAAAAAATGAAACCAGTGTTTATTCTTTTGCATTATGTGCAACACATAAATATGTTTGAGTCAAATAATCCCTAAATTTGTGAAAACTTTAAACATAAATTTTCAGTGATATTATGTCACTCATGAACAGAACATTTAATAAAATATTTATTTGTCACAATGATTAAATAAGTTTTTTTTAAGATCAGTTTCGAATTCAATTGGCTGGAACTAATGTGCGCATGATGCACCCTCTGTTAACTAAGTTTTTAAACTTTTGCTTTTAACTCTCATTAAAAATTGATTGATTATACCGGCAAACCAACGTCAATTGTTTTATTTTATTTTATTTTACAGTTAATATAATATCAAAGTTTATTACGAAATATAAAAAGTATTCAAATGATTGGCATCATGTGATGCTGTCTCTCAGAGTATAATTAAAAAAAATTACTTTACCTTAAAGGTCCTCTTCTGAAACCAACTCAACTTCACTTTCAGGCTTTTCTCCAGAATCCTTCGCTTCCTCGAAAATATTTTCTCGACTTTCTTGAGTCTCAAAATTATCAGTGTCATCATCAAATTCCTCTGGTTCGTCATCAAACGGTTCCTGTGTATCTACAGTTTCCACAGAATCAGCAACTTCGAGGCGTCCATCATCCGATATCTGTTTGGTCTGATCGCTGTTTTCTGAATGTAAAATTTCTATTTCGTAACTACTAGATCGAGGTTCTTCATAATTTCTGTACTGTTTACTTCTTCCTCGAGGTGGAACTGACTTTGATTTGTAACCGAGATCGCCATTTGGTCTTCTAGCTACTCCATAATTTGGAACATGACTAACTTGGTGGCTAGCTGAGTTCTCATAACCCGATTTTTTATTTTTCAAATCATATAAAGTGTCTTCTTCATTTAATTTAGCTTGTTCTGTATGTTCGTAGACTTTTCTACTATTAAAAGGGATTTTTAAACCATGGTTTCTATCCACTAAGGGTCTTTCTGAGGTATAAGAATTTTGGTCGTGGTGCTGCTGAGGTGTGCGAATTGGGTATCTTCCTCCAGAATAATTAATTTCCTTTGTTGTATCAGAAGACTTTGTTTGTTTTGGAAATTCGGGATACTGTGAAACTTCTTTTATGGGATATTCTTCGTGGTGCTGCTCTAATGGTTTCTCATATTCCTTACTTTGATGAAATGGGTTCTCATATACTTTAGCCTGAAAAGCATGATGATGCTGTTCTAATGGTTTCTTACTTTCTTTATTTTGATGTAATGGATTCTCAAACCTTTTAGCATGATAAGCGTTACTGTGGTGTTCTAATGGTTTCACGTATTCTTTATTTTGATGAAATGGGTTCTCATACTGTTTAGTTTGAAAAGTATTATGATATTGCCCTACTGGTTTCTCATATTCTTTATTTTGATGAAATGAACTCTCATGCTCTTTTGACTGAAAAGTAGTATGGGTTTGCTCCAATGGTTTTTGATATTCTTTATTTTGAGGAAATGGGTTCTCATACTTTTTTGTTTGGAAAGCATTGTTCGTTTCTTTATGAAAATGAGTTTTACTCTGTGGTTTCCTTCTATGAATGTAATTTGGAGGGTTTGGAAATCGTTTGTATTCTCCCTGAACTCTTGAAACGGTTATCACCTTTTTATCATAGTTGTCGTTTTTGAAGTGATGGGAGTTATCTAGAATGGGTTTTTGAGCTAAATAACCATTATTATGAGACGTTTTGGGATGCTCATGAGTTACAGCTTTATCAGTTTCAGGCAATTGTGAGATGTGCGTCTGTTGTAATTCGTCAGCATGACCAACTTTCTTCTGCTGTAATTCTTGAATATGATGAATATTGCCTGTATGAATCGCTGGATGCACTGTTTCTAGTGAATTATGTACTTTATTACTCTGGTGAAGTGGAACTCCAATGTTTTGGTTAGAGTAAATGCTTGGATCTCTTTCCTGTTGAACTTTAGATTTTGAATAATCAATATTATGAGGTAAATTATGACCCCTCAAAGCAGTTTCTGATTTAAATTGACTCCGAAACCCATCATCATGGTAAGCAGGAGCTAGATTTTCAGAAATTGCTGAACTCGTATGTTTATGATAGGAATCCAGAAAAGGCTTGAAATTATGAGAAACTTCCTTAGCACTATGGAAAGTACTGTGTAAATTTTTCCCCGAGCTATATCCATTTGCAGTTCTTCCTAGAGAAATGTCAGCTAAATCAAGCCCACCTAGATTTATTAAACCAGAAATAGAATTTTTATAGTTGTGTGGTAATAATGGTGATGACGAACCTTTAAAATTATCTTGATAATCATTTCCAATTAAGCTTGTTAATGATAGTCTTTTTGGCGTATGTATATTTTGATAAAGTGAATGGTGATCATAAGAATGTATACCTTTCAATAAGTGTAAATTTTTTGGTGCTGGTACGACATGAAGACCACCTTTTACTGGTATTCTGGCAACGTAATCTGAAGGAAAGGGATACAATGCATGACTGTATTCAGAGTTTAATGTATCATAAACGCTACTATAAGAACTCGGAAAACTGTTTATTGTGCTTAATCCAAGCCATGAAAAAGGTGACTTTAACTGGCTTGAATGATAAGCATTCAGGGGTTGTGAATATAGTCCGAATGTTCCTTCAACTACAGCATATTTAATGCTTATTAGCATAAGCAAAACCTATAAAAGATTGTCTGATTAGTTAAAAAAATTTCCATACATTGAAAAGTGATTTCAAAATAACAAAGGTTGCAACTTTATCCTAATAAATCAGGATAGCGGTTTTAAAATCAAAAGTAGTAAAAAATATTCAAAAAAGATTTAGTTTATCAAGAAAGCGACAACCTGATAAATCAGGACATTGCTATCCTGATAAACCATCACGCAAAAACAGTGTTTAAAATGCGAGTTTAAAGAAAAATGTGAGTTTAAGAAAATGAGTTTAAGAAAAAATACGAGTTTAAGAGAAGGAGCAGAGCTATTTAAGAAACAGCAATTTATTCCATTTTTCAAATTTCCCTTTGGGGCACTGATAACAGAAATCCTCCTGCTCGATTTTTAAATTATTCACGGTGAAATTATGATAGCTAATGTTTCGTCGTTCATCAAATGTTCGTCTGTGCATAAGTCAACGTGTTTTTTAACATTAAGGATTAAGAAATTTCATAACCAAGTAATTCAAGCCTTTGTTACTTCCCCATTTCGGAAAATTTTCTGATTCAATTTAATGCTAACTTAACTTTTTCTTCCTTTCATATTCTTAAAAAAGCTGAAAAAAATTGTTTTCTTTCAATTTTATTCAAAAAAACAAAATTTTGGAAGAAAAATTTGGTACGAAATATTTCACAGTATCAAATTATTGTTGTTAATGTTTTTTCGTTCATCAAATATTCGTCTGCCCACATCTCCACGCACTTTTTTACTCAAAGGATAAAAAAATCCCGTTGTTAAGTGTGGTACCCTATGCTACTCTCACATTTCGGTAAATTTTCTAATTGAAACTCGAATATTAAAATTCCAGTTAAGGATATCTGTTTTAAAATGACCTTTCATAGCTCTTCATCTGCAGAATGAATTAAACTTGGCGACATATTTCAAAATAATTTTTTTTTGTAATTTATAATTTTATAATTGTTTTTAAATAGACAAAATAAATTTTATATATTACTTTAAAACCTAAAAAAACGATCTTTTTTTTTTCTTTTTTTAAAAAAAAATTCCCCTCGTGAGTGGCACTTTAGATACCTTCCTTGTAAAATTGGTATTATAACAGAAAACCTTAAAAAAAATCATCCTTTTTTCCTTTTTTTTTACAAAAAATATTTCAATTGTATTCAAATTTTTCTCTAAGAGTATAACCTGAAAGTCATGTGAGATTCAAGGCTCTAACGCACTCCATACAAGGCCTCTGGCTTAGATCTATTTTCAATTAAATTGACAAATTTAATAAAATAATAATTATAAATGTATGTGAGTGATTCCCCGAGTTAAGGGGTCACAGTACCTTTGCAACAATTTTTTAAAATAAAGGTATAATCATTCATTTTGAGGATGCTTTACATGCTCATCTAAGTTATAATTAATAATTTATCTTCAAAAAATGATTAAACTGCTTAATTTTTTGTAAATTTTAAAAAAAGTTGAAAAAATTTTAAATTTTTAAATCCCGAAGGCTTTTTTATTTTAACATATTTTCAAAAATTTTTTTATTCATAGTCCCCCCACCTTCCAAATCCANAAGCAATAAAAAAAAATTGGTATTTTTGTCATTTTTTGGGTACTGTGACCCCTTAACTGACTGACATTCACAGAGCAAAATGATAAGTATTTTGTGATATGCTTAACAAAATATTTTTTTTTTTAAAGTTTCCTCATTAGCTGGATTTCTGACACATTTTTTTGTCGTGTTTATTTTTCCCAAGATTATGGCTTTTTTTTTTAGCTGAATCCATTGGATTAATTGAATTCCACGAGTTCGTCTTGGATAATTTTACAAAATTTGTTAAATGTGGCAGTCCAGGTCAAAGAATAAGTTCTCCTGATGGAAATTTCAACAGATTGCTTTGGCCTACCCTGGGCTGTCGTACCAAATATAGTGATGGTTGATGGTATTTCTCTATATTTAACCATCCTAAAACATCCTAATTAAATTTGTGTTATAATGACCATGCAATAGCTTCCTTCAGCTAAATATTTGCGTCTTCAAAATTTAAATTTCATAATTGAACTAATGGTAATAAATTTAAGGTCCTTAGTCGTCGATTAAAAGCCCAGCTTTGGTTGAACATTTAAAGTCATTGCTTTCTTGGTTTCGAATTTTATGCAAATTTTTCTAAATGCTAGGATTTGCACAAAAATTATTCAAAATGTGGGATTTTTGCATTTTTAATTTTTCACTTACATTTTAAAACAATTAGTGCTTTTCTGAAGCTACAAAATTTATAACGTGTAATTGATTAAATATTAAGGAGAATAGATCAATGGTAAAATGACATGAAATAATTCAGTCAATCCAAATCCTGTCAAGTAAGATCCTCTTTCTATTTCTTGGATTATAAATTAATATGGATACACACAGTGCATCCCTAAAGTGCGAAAAAAATACAAATGCTCCCAAATTAATATTTAATGAACAACGAAACATTAAAGAGAACAGTTTAACAATTTACAATATTCTGTACCTAAATTTTCTACCAAAATTCTGTTCATATAAATAAAATTAAACTAAATCATTTTTTCAGCTTTTTTTAAGAATTCGAAAGGAAAAAAAATTAGTTAGCTTCAATTTAAAAGAGTAACTTTAAAAGATTAAATTATAAAATTAAAATAAAAATTCCATTATTTTTAGCAATAAATTAAAATTCCTTCATAATTTTACATTTTGCAAGCAATTTTTAAAAAAAATTTTATTAGCTGAACTATAACTAGAAATCGTTTGCATTATATTTTTTATAAATATTAAGCGTGATTTTTTATCGCGCTTATCGCAAAATTTCAGCGATTTTTTGAAAAAAATTTTCAATTTTTTATATACATATTTATATTCTAAGCTGAACCATAAGTCTATTTTATTATAAATTGCTCTAAAAAAACAATAAAAATTGCAATTGTGAATGAGATAAAATTATGAACCCATTTCACTTTTGCTCCTGTTTATCTATAATGTACAAATTCGGCCCAATATGCGTCAAATTTAAATGAAAGTTAAGCGAAGAATTTAATATCTTGTTTAAAAATCACAAATAAAAATTTGTTTTCTAAAAATAAAATTTTTTTAAGCAAATAAGTAACTAAAATTTCCATTAAATGTTTAAAAAAATAATAAATATAGCATTTACAGAAATACACAATAGCGAGGTGTTCTTTAACAGGATTTTAAAATTTTGCTCTTTAACAGGGTTCTTGAAAGTAAGTTTTTTAAATTAAAAGAAAACTACCATTGCTTTTAAAATGAAAATTTGGTTTCGAAAAGTAAAACATAAATTTAAAAATAAATGATAAAAATTTCGGTTAAAAACTATGCACAAAATTACTTTTTTTATGAAAAAAAAGTGCACAAAAACAAAGTATGTATATAAATTCCTTATTTTGTTCTTGATAGTTATTTTTTAAATAAAAATTTAACATTTTTGAAAAATCAAAGAAGTAATAAAAATTTTAAATAAAGAATTTCTCAAAAAAAAATTTTTTTTTAAATATACTATATCAAGATCCACGCATTTTCGCTTTCGTTCATTATTATTGAAAGTTAATGCATGAATAAAGAATGAATTTTTTTCCTGAAAATAAAAATTGATGTTATTTTTTAAGAAAAAATAACTAATTAAAAATTCAATTGCAAACCATACAGAAAACTACATTTTTTTAAAGAAATACACAATATCGAGGCCTATAAATTTCAGATTTGGTTCTCAATCATTGTTTTTGAATGTCAGTTCTTAAATAATTAAAAAATTCACATTGTTTTTAAAATTAAAAAAAATTTCTGTGATAAAAATTGGTGTTTTGAATAAGTAAATAAAATTTGAATTAAAAACCTCTCAAAGAATTACATTTTTTAAAGAAAAACTAAATGCCGAGGTCTATACTGCCGTGCAATTGATAGAAACAGCGAAATTTTTCACTATAATTTTGAATCACTTCATAACTTTTTCTTTTTATTGCTAATGCTATAAACTGATATGATAACATTAATTGTACCTTAACTTAATTTATATTTTACTTTAACTTAATTTAATATTTATTTCAATTCAAATGTTTATTTAATTGCCTTTTCTTTACTTAAAGTAGGGGATTAAGATTAAGTGCATTTCCCGTACTACTCAGTTTTATTAATATCTATTTGAGATGACGATATTTATATTTTCGGTCAAACTTTGAGAAACGCCCCAATTAAGAGGATTGGGATAATTTTTGACCACCAGTGTTTAATGTGAGCGAATCTTTCAGTTCCCCTTTTCAATTAAGGATTAGTTAAAAAATATCGATATTTTAATTTTGATTTGATTTTTACTCTTAACCTAAAATAATTGTGCTTTAAATTTTAACATGTGGGTTTTTGTAGGAGATAAAAAAAAAAGATATCAGGAGAATAAAGGAGAATGGGGTGTTGATAATTTATTTATTCTCATTTAGAGAGTTAAGTGATTAATAAAAGTGATGGGTACAAATGGAAAGAAAGTAAATATGAGAATATTACAAGAAGATCTTCAAAGATTTTGTAACTAAATATTTTGCAATTCATTTTCTTTGTCTGTTTCATCTTCGAAATTTTAATTCATTTAGACAATAAGTATTATGGTTTTATATACATACTTTTTTCTATTGATTATTTATAAATTTAAAATGAAAGGTATGTTAGATTATAACTTTGGATACTTTAATCTTGTGCATAGTCACAGCGGCTGCGCAACAGAACACTCAAATAGATTTTCAAAAAATTAACGAAACAAAATTTGTTTCTAAAAAAAAATTATAATTTGTAATAAGTAGCTTATCATACTAAAATGGCAAATATATAAAAATCTCAAATTTGATTTTTGTTGCTTGAGTTGATTTTTTTCTTGCACGGCAGTATAAATTTTAGATTTTGTTCTTGATCATTGTTTTTGTAAGTTAATTCTTAAATAAAGATATAAATATAATTTTTAAAAAAAATTCTAAAACTTAAAGTTAAATTTTTTTTAAAAAATGAGCAATTGAAATTTATAATCAAAATGCTTTTTTTAAAGAAATGCACACTGACAAGATCTATTAAATTTACATTTTGTTCCTGAAAGTTACTTCTTAAATAAAAAAGAAACACCAGCATTATTCTTAAAAATAAAAATTTATTTTCTAAGAAAAAAGGTATTTTTTTAAACAAAACAAAAATAAACAATTGAAATTTGTGTAGAATATGAATCAAAAAATTACTTTAAAAAAATCGACAATATCAAGGCCTATAAATGTTAGATTTTGTTCTTGATCAAAGTTAGTCTGAAAGTTAGCTTTCGAATTTTAAAAAAAAAAAAATTTAACCTTGTTTTCAAAAATAAAATATTTTTTTCCAAGAATAAAAGAATTTTCTTTTGAAAAATAAATAATTAAGATTTCTAACAAAAAATACATAAAAAATGGCTTTTTAATAAAAAAATACACAATAACAATCAGGGTCAATAGTTTTTGTTTTTTGATTAGAAGCAATAGTTTTTGTTTTTGATCAAAAAGAAATCAATTTAAAAATTAAAATATCCATTATATTGAAAACTCACCGTTAAAGCCATCATCTGTCCCATGTCCAAGCTTAACTTCTCAATGACCTACCACTCCTTTCACTTTTATATTGACTTCCTGCTATAGAAAGAAAATCTACTTCCGAAAGCGGGTCGGGGAATAACTTAATTACCATAATTTTTTATTTTTATTTATAAATTATCACCAGTGTCCGATATCGATGGACAAATCTTTTATTAGAAACGAGATCGATATGACTAATGGTAGAAGTGGAACAAAAAATAAGAGCAATAGAAAATTGCCCTTAAGTAAAAATCAAAATATACGCAAACCAACGTAAATTAATAGCCAGAAAGTAAAAGTGTTTTCTTTTTCTCTTCAGTTACACATTACTTATAAAAAGTGCTCTAGCCTCAGAGAAAGGCTTGGCTGCCGGAGGTTCTTTTTTGGGAGGAGTCCTTTTAAGAGTTAAGGAAAATTATTGTCTGTCTGACAAGAAGCTATACAACTTATGTTAAATCAACTGAGAGCCATTTGTGGAAATTAAGTCCAATTCTCTTCTCTCTCTCTCTATCTATCTAATTATCTATCTATCTATTTCTCTCTCTCATGTATAAATAGTCGGACTTCTATTTAACGAACTTCCATTTTGCGAATTTCTAAATTTTGCGATTTTTTCCAAGGAACCTACGACATTTTGGAAATTTCTTTATAAAATAGCTAACTAATAGCGAGGTGACTCTTCTGTTTTACACGTTGAATGCCACGCTAATTTTACATGGTTTGCCCGTCTAACCAAAAGGTAATTAACTACAAACTAAATTTGCAAGTTTGTCAGATTTTGTTAGTTTTTTTAAAAGGTTTAGGATGACAAACCTGATTCTGTTCTGTTCTGTTTAGTCTAGCTGGGCTCCTGAGGCCAATAATGGCCCTTTTCCCATTCATCCTGCAATGAGAACTTAAGCAAAAACAATAGACAGATTACATGAAATGCAACAATTAAATGGCACATGTTAAAGTAGAGAAAGAATGGCACTTAGCCATGGTAATAAGAAACAAATAATTGAATGTATAGAAAAATACAATATATATTTTTACAAGTAGGGAAACAATATTTACAAGAAGAAAACAATTTACAAAATATGAGAAGACTTAGCAAAACTCAAGATGAGAAACGACAAGATCATTAAAAAAATTCATTAACAAAAAAGTGTACCTCTGATAAAGTAGAAACACGACCGTCCTGGTTATTACCACACGTGTCGGCTAGCTCTCTACACTAAAAATTGATGACATACCTGAAAGAAGAAGAAAAAAGTGGTAAATTATAAAAGCATACGAATTGTTTAGAAATAATGGTGGATAAAAATCCACTAAATTGAATTTATTAAACCAAGAATCACAATTAATAAACTACCACTTGCAAATATTTATTCGCTATCCGGAGCAAGTTGGCATCCCTGTGTAAATAAATAAAATTATTTTTGTTTGTACTATATTGCATTAATTTTTTCAAACCATTTTAGTAGCGATAATAATATAAAAATTATAAAAATGTACTCGAATTACGTGCTTCTAAAAATCTTGGCTTCGCCGGTCACCGGTGACCTCCGTGGTGCTACGAACAAATTTAGTGCCAGGCACCGGTGACCCCATGGCATTCAACGTGCTAACGAACTTTTCTTTAAGAACCACTTTTTCCCTATCTCCCAAAATATTTCAGAACATTTCAAACTTGTTAACGCATTTCATGGGGAAATGACCTTGAAATGATTTTCGCAACCACTTAACTCTTAGAGAAAGCAATAAAATCTCTTTCCCCTTTTGTTTGCATTTCATGCAGGAAATTATTAGTTGGAAATGTATGTAATTGAAAATGTATTATTAGTTGAAAATGTATGTTGCTGATAGTGTAACACTGCATAATATTTTGTTCTATTCTCAATTTCCATGTAGACTTCTCTTAATGGTTAAGATTTCTAAAATAATTAGCAGACAATAATTTACAATTGCTATTTTAATTATGCCTAGTGTTTATGAATTTGAAACCTGTTTTGTGTTGTTTAAGTATTTCAAATATTGATTTTTTATTTATCGAATTTTCCATATAGTGAACTTTTTATAGGGATTTAGCGACTTCATTAAATAGAGGTCCGACTGTATATGTTTCTGTGAATGACCGAAATTGGTGATTGTTGACTTCCACCGGTGAATGTTGATAATCACATAGTTGCTTTGGTAAATGTCAGAAATATATACTAGGTGCAGTTAAGTGCCACTGCCTGATATACATTTGCCCGGTATACCATACACTGATGCTTTTTTAAGGTTCAGCACCACTGCCCAGTATGCATTTGTCCGGTATACCCTACACAATGTTTTTTTAAGGTTCAGTGCCACTGCCGGGTATATATTTGCCCGGCACTCCGAACACTGATGTTTCTCCTAATTTATCCTCAGCAGATATTAGCACGTTGAATGCCACGGGGGTCACCGGTGACCAGAAAAGACAAGATTATTAGAAACACGTAATTCGAGTAAATTTTTAATGCATTTAATTTTTTCTATAATATTATCGTTGCTAAAATGGTTTGAAGCAATTAATGCCATATAGAACACACAAAAATCATTTTGGCTAGACGGGCAAGACATGCAAAATTAGCGTGGCACTCAACGCGTTAAAATATCGAATAAATATAATAATATCAACGAATAAATTAATATCTAATCGGATATAACAAATGTTTCGGACATTCACCAAAGAGACTGTGTCATTGTTGACATTCATCAGGTGAAATTCGACATTCTCTTGATTTCGATCATTCACGGTAACATATATATATGAGTCATTCTCACGAAAACTGTGATTTTTCAGTTCATAAAATCCCAAAAAAGTAAAGTGAATAAAAAGCTCTGAAACTTTTTATATTAATCGAAATATGTAATGGTATTATAAAGAAAGTATATATCCTATAAATTATACTTAATATTTAAACTAATTAATTTTTTTAATAATTAATTTATAATTAATTTACTTATAATAATTAATTAATTAATTTAATAAATAAATTAATTAGTTTAATAAATTAATTTATTAATTTATTAATTAATTTTTTTAATTAATTAATAAATAAATTAATTAATTTCACCACTTAAAAAGTGAGTGAATGACACTAATAGTGAGGGAATGATATTTTATTTTAATACATGTTTTTATCTAAGTTACATCTACCTAAAGTTTGAAAATGATAACATACTAAGTATATCTAATATTTATTATAATTTAGTCNAGATCTACACGCGAAGTCGAGCAATATATATAATGCTATAAAGTTGCTGACACAATTTGTAGGGCTACTTCAGATATATTTTAACATTTTAGAAAATAAACATATTTTATCTTTTGTTTTTCATCAAGCAAGCGAAAAAAAAAGCTTTTAGAGGGGAAAAAGTAGACCGCATCAAAGTGAAGTTTGATTTAATTTGAAAATCCTGAGGATTGAGAGAAAAGTTAAATGATACACAAGAGTGAATCAGGTCTACTGCTCCAAACGTTAACAATGTCACCCCCTACTCGAGATTATAAAACCATTAAGTGCATTTCCTGGTCCTTATTTTCACTAAAACAAGGGTGTAAAGATGCATTTAAACCTCGTCCCATTAATACAACAAAATCTATTTAAGCCATTTCTACTTTGTTTTTATCGTGTTACATCACATTATCTACAATGTCACATTTTTACATGGTTTTAAGCATTTTATAAAGATTCATAGATATCAAAATATCCATGCTACATTGCATTATATACGATTACCTTAGAAATACTAAATCAAAAGCAAGGGGATAGTTTTTTTCTGTCAAAATTAATGTATAAATTTGTGATAGTTATATTTTATATGAATTTGTAGATTTATATAACATTTAAGTAACGATATTGAACATAATTTTATTTTATTAAATATTAAAATTATTTTAATATTTAATATAATAAAATCGATGAAAGTTTTATTTCATAATTTATCACTTTCTCTATTTATAAAGATATAAATTAAGATTAATATCTATCTGATAATAGGATTTCGTAACTGATACTCAATTATACCACAGCCAAATTGCAACTGGCATAAATTGTAATTGTTATGCATCCACCTCTTGTGGTAATTGATTAAATGAATGAGAATTTGGAAGTCGGGAATATTTATAAATCAGCTTTGTTTTATGTGATTATTATAAACAAACAAAACTTTTTTAGTTTTTTTATCATTATTTTATTTACTCATGATTTAACAACTGAGAAAACTGAAGCACTATTTTTAATCAAATATTTCTTTTTCCTGCGCAGTTACTATGGAAGAAAAAAATTCTTTGGTGGTACTTGATGTTCAAATAGGAGAGAGCTTTAGTGCAATGTTCGCTACAAATATGCTTCAGTGCAATATCAATTCAAATGGCACACATTCAACTGAATCAACATTTCTTATAATAGTAGTGCAATACGTCTTAATAAAATTAAAACAACAAACTGTTTACATTTAATTTCCCAGTAAAAGTAATGGTGTATTCTAAAACCGCAAATGTAGAAATTCTTTAATGGAATTTAATATAAAAAGCTGTATTGATGTTATCAATCAATTTCTAAAGAGCTATAATCATACGTGACAAATCAGTTTTAAATTGGAACTTCGTCAATAAAAGCAATTTTTTCAAGGTCATGGAAAATTTATACGAGGATTTAAAAACATTAAAACCTCACCCTATTGGAAAAAAATTGCCGGCATGAAAAAAAATATACCAGCTTATGAAACACCAGTATGATGCAGAACCCGGTATCATACCGGAACCGGTGTTTCATTAGCCGGTATCAGATCCATTCCGGTATGATACTTTTATAAACCGAATGAAATTTGTCCGGACCCGATATCATACCGAAAAATAGGCCAGGTCATATTGGCTCCAGTATGATAACAGATCTATTTATTATACAAGAGTCAGCATTTTATAAAACAGTATCGCATACTGGCTCCAATATGATACGAAATCTAATTTCATACTGGAACTGGTGTTTCACAAACTAGCTGTATACTGGATCCAGCATCTGTAAAAAATAATTAAATTATGTTTTAAAAAAATTTCTTTACTTCTACCAAAAATAGTTACAGATTCACATATTTAGAAATATTTATTTATTCTGCTCCGACAAAAAATCCACAGATAAATTAAAAATTCAATAAGCATAAAGA